CAACAGTTGCTCTATAACAAACGCTAGAACGTCTCACGTGCTCGTGCTCGACAATACTTAGTTCAATTACACACTCTCCGACTGCAGTTCAATTACTCACTACACTGTTGTTCCGTCACGTTGTAACCATCTTATACATACCAGGCTACCCCAATCTAGTAATCTCCCGATAATTCAGGAAGGTTCGAGAGAAGGAGTGGCGTGATACTAGTCACGTGACCTCGCTGACGCAACAGTTAGTATAGGTCTAAGTATGGCTATAATATAGGCTACAATTTGTATGATGATGAACCTAGGGTCTAGAAATAGTTATAATTGCAATTAGACCTAAAGTCTAGTACATTAGTTGGTGTAAGACATGATTTACAGTCAGCCAATACAATTACAAACCACTACATTATGCCTATAATGTTTGCTAGATCTAGATCTAGGCCTTGCCTGTTGCATATATTGCCAATCTTGCACACCAGTTAATATGTCACATCAATCTCGTATTTTCTTTTTGTTGAACATACACTTACTTGTACGTTGTACTCTAAGACTTGTATTTGATCTACAGATGAATGATAGAATAGTGTAATTTACTTCTGTACGTCAGTTCGGTCTCACTGTATTTCAGTGGGCGGCTTTTAAAAGTTAAAACTGCAAGTGTAATACACAAATAACGTAACACTGTGTCGTATTCACTTAACGTAGATCAGTTGCGCTATATCCTAGGGGAGGGCATAATTATTAATTAATAGGCATTATAGGCCAGAGGAAATTTTGCGCCCCTTCACACCTGCGACTGGGGAGCGACTGCCCCCATTGCCCCCTCTTGCTACGCCACTGGGGAGTGATGATACAAAGTGGACTTACATGGCAAAAATTACGTGAGTGATGATACAAAGTGGATTTATTGGTAGAACTACGTGAGTGATGATACAAAGTGGATTTATTTGGTAAAATTATGGGGAGTGATGATACAAAGTGGGTTTATTTGGTAAAATTATGGGGAGTGATGATACAAAGTGAGTTTACTTGGTAGAACTGACGCGAGTGATGATACAAAGTGGATTTATTTGGTAGAACTGACGTGAGTGATGATACAAAGTGAATTTATTTGGTAAAATTATGGGGAGTGATGATACAAAGTGGGTTTATTTGGTAAAATTATGGGGGGTGATGATACAAAGTGAGTTTACTTGGTAGAAATTACGTGAGTGATGATACAAAGTGGATTTATTTGGTAAAATTAAGGGGAGTGATGATACAAAGTGGGTTTACTTGGTAAAACTAAGGGGAGTGATGATACAAAGTGGACTTACATTGTAAAAATTACCGAAGTAGTGCTACAAAGGAAATCTGACATGGTAGAATAAAGTGCATTTAAATGATAAGAATGGTGGAAAATAGCACAACTTTGTTGAGAAATAACGTATAAATAACATGAGTATTTTTATATTAACAGTACTGAATACATCAATGAGTACTTTTTTATCGTATGACAAACAACGTAATGAATTTATTACTATGAGCAAAGCTACGCAATGGGTCATTTACACTGTGCCCATCACGGTTACTGGAGAGAATTTAGCTTGGTTAAAACTTAAACACTTAGCTTAGACTTTTCAAGCTGTGATTATTATTATTAGAGATATTTGACAGTAAAAACATATTTTATAAAGAATATTTTGATATCTTTAAACGTATGACAAAACTGCATTATAATTTTAAACAGAAGAATTAAGAGCGATATATATATATATATATATATCGGTACATGTGTATAATATTAAAATAATAAACATACAACGTTAAAATCAATACACAATTAAAATCATTTCAAAATAATGACTACATGTTTCGACGCGTCACACGTCATCTTCATGAGTGAAGTTGTAAGAGATAAATTTCACATTTGATATTTTCTTAAATACCACGTGACCTGTCTGTAATTTTGCATTTGTGCATAAATATCAGAACAGGTTTCGCCACATTCTTAGACAGATATTCGCCAGACCTTTATTTCTATTTAATAATTTATAATTATTTTTAAATTTCATTATTTACAACGATTCTCGAGTATTAGTTGCTGTAATACCTCAAGGTTGAACTAATACAATTGTTTTTTTCTCATAATATGTTATGTTGGGTTTTACTTAATTGTTCTGCTATAGCCGAATGTTCTGTTTTTGTTTGTTTTTCATTTTTTATACATCTCTTATGTTCGGCTATATGATATTTTAAATTACGTTTTGTTTGTCCAATATAAATACTTCCACATTCACATTCAATTTTATAAATTCCAAATTTATACATTAATTGTGCACCCATCTTTACTATTGCCTAAAATTTATTTTATCTTATTTATAGGTTTAAATATAGAGCAAAACATTTGTTGTTTTTTAAAAAAAGTAAAAAAATCAGTAGTTAAACCTGGAATATATGGTAACACTAAACATTCCTTTTTAATGTTATGTTTAACCTTGATCTATATTGCCAAATTAGTGAATTTATTAACTGCTCTATCTACAATTATTTTAATTGTGTATTGATATCAACTTTGTATACTTATTATTTTATTGAAGAGTGTGTTTGGTAACTCAGAATTTTCTTTTTGTTTCTGTTAGATGAACTTTCCTTTCTGGAGAGTTAGTTGCCATTCAGACCTTGCAGCCTTGCATCATGCTTTGGACGTTGGTCACCTTTAGACCGACCATCAGGTGGTATTACAAATCTAGCCTTACAGTATTCAATATATTGGTCTGTCAAAGTTTTATACCATCCATTCCAAGCCTGTTACTCAAGCACGTGTTTTTTCCAGCAGAAACCTGTACGTCCGTTTGATTTCTGTATGTGTTTGATGGGAATGAACAGAGACTTAATCCAGTAAATAATGTGATTTAGTATGCTTATTGTACAAAACGGCGAAGAAAAGAAACATTCTTGTTTGGAAAAAAAAGAACGTGGATATATTAACAAATGTTACTATGGACAATGAAGGTAATGATCGTAGGGTGGGAGGGGTAGATAATAAGGACGGTAAATATTTCCTTACAATCTGCATTCTACAGGAAAAAGAATTGTATTGATTATATTTGTAGTAATGTTGTCACTTGTACAGTGGGTAAAGAAAATTCATCACCGACTGTTATAACTCAACATAAATGTACTGCAGACGATGATCAAGACGAAAGTCATTAAGAAATCTTATTCTAGCTTTAATTTTCTTTTAGAAAAAGTTTGAGGACAATGTATAAGGTATCTAAAAAAACAATCGATTCAGAAAATATAGCCATAATAATATGGGTAAGACATATCAAAATAAAATTCGAAGAGGTGTCGCTAATATGCTTCTCCCTTGCCTGAATTTTCTCCCTTTTTAAATTTTGAGCTAAAGATGGAGTGAGCTAGCTCGAACTATTTTTTTCATTCTACTTGTCACACAGTTCTGAGCTTCTAACAGCTTTATTATTATTTCTTTTTACCAGTGAATTGTTTAAATATATTAACCTTCAAATCAAAAATAGCGTTAAGCGCATTCTTTGGTATTTTCATTTACTGGGCGCGTCATCTGTATTTCAAAAGTTTCACTTCAGTAGGAATCCGGAAATAATTAAACATTTAAAGGTCTCTAGCAAAGTGTGTTGTTTTACTTATTTTGTATGTAAACTTTTGTGATTTCTTTACTTAAAGTTTTATTTGTATAGTAAAAAGAAGAACATATTTTTCACGTCTTCGTTGATTTTTATCACTAGTTACATACTATGTTTTTTCTTGCTTGTAATACTAAATCATACATAAGATGATGAATATTCTAGTACTTATATATTTAGATACAAATTTTTGGTCATTTTAATGCTAGCAGTAATGTTTTATTAGATGATGGTCAGGAGTTAAACGACAATTATAGTTTACAATGTAAGTAAAGGCATCTAAATGGTTGTTAAGGCTACAGTTGTTATGCCAATAGATGATTATGCTACTAGCGAGGGGAAGCTGGAAGTAATGTAAGTGATTTAGTAAACAAAAAACAACAACAACAACAAAAAAAAAAACAGATGTTCAGAAGGAAATGTCAAATAAATAAAAATCAAACTGATATAACATAAGCTGAATTAGTGTGGTAATATAAGGCTTGAATCAGACTGGAAATTAAAAGTCCAACGCGAACTTTAACTACAATTAATTTTCTGTCCTGCTCACAATTTTGGCGTATTTCTAATCTCATTTAAAACCTTCATCACAGTATAAATCACAAGACTAACACGTATCAGCTCTGCTCACGATGCTAACGTTATAGGATTCTATTGTAACATTGCATCAATAACTAGGAAACACGGCTGACCACACTACATCTGAATGCATCATGATAAAATTACTTGTAACTAAAACATAAGCAGAGTGAAGTATGGGTTGTAGATAAAAATTTGGTTTTAGTTTTGAAGGGTGTATTAACCCACTGTACTGCCAGCACTAGCCCAGCTTAGTTCGGTTTATCCTCCTTTTATGATCTGAAGCCATTAATACCGATTACTTCGGTTCACCTTTCTTTCTGAACAGAAGCAGTTAATCCAGCTTACTTCAGTTTTCCTTGTTTTCTGAATTGAAGACGGCATTAACCCAGATTAGTCCGTTTTATCTTCTTTTCTCAACTGAAGCCAACATTTACCCTAGTCGGCATTAACCAAAATTAGTCCGTTTTATTTTTTTTCAACTTAAGCCAACATTTACCCAAGTCGGCATTAACCCAAATTAGTCCGTTTTATCTTCTTTTCTCAACTGAAACCAGCATTTACCCAAGTCGGCATTAACCCAGATTAGTCCGTTTTATCTTCTTTTCTCAACTGAGCCAACATTTACCCAAGTCGGCATTAACCCAGATTAGTCCGTTTTATCTTCTTTTCTCAACTGAAGCCAACATTTACTTAAGCCGGCATTAACCAAAATTAGTCCGTTTTATTTTCTTTTCTCAACTGAAACCAGCATTTACCCAAGCCTGCATTAATCCAGGTTACTGTGGTTTACCTTCTTTTCTTACCTGAAGCACGTATTAACTCAGATTAGCTTAATGTATCTTTTTTTACTGAAATGATTGTTATTTTATTTCGTGCTGTATTGGCTAATGCGACTAAACAAACTTAATACATGAGGTATTCTTTACAATTAATTGGTTAGTACTTCGACGATAGTAACGTGTCATATTGACGTTAAAATTTCTTACAGTATAAGATAAAAATATGTAAAAAAATACCTCTCAGTGTTTCTTGTGTCTGTTATTTGTTTAGCTGTACGAAAGAATTATAAACACTTTTACCAAATACTTTGGTAGGGACCTGAAGGATTCAGAAGAAGTTGTTAGTAAATTAGGTAAAGCTTTATATTATGTTAGTCATATGAGTTACTTTCATTATTAACATTTATGTTACATTTCCATTAAAAACTGGCTTGAAAGAAATTGAGTGTAATTGTATTATCTTTATATAAAATTTTAATCAATTCATGTGTTGTTTTTCTATTGCTTAGTTACAATTATTTACGTGAACAACTCTTCTGGAACAAACAAGTTGTGTGAATTAGACAAAAACTCGTAATGGACATGTTAAGAATCACGAACCTAAAATTATCGTCTTTCTACCGATATGTATCTAATCTACATTTGTTATAGAAGTATAGAGTGCATTGTTTGTATAACAATGAATTTGATTCATGTAAATAATTTTGATTTTATTTATGAATCAAACGAGTAAGCCAGATTTATACAAGCGTTGAAAAGAAACTATTATAATTATAAGTTACATAATAAACCTTGAAAATGGAACCTTAATTACAATTCGGATATTTAACCCTAAAAATATAAAGTTATACATCAGATTGTAATTGAAAAAAAAATATAGCTATATTTATAACTAATATATACATATGTAATCAGAAGATGTAACTACTAGTACATTATTTGTGAAAATTCACTGAAAACAACAACAAATTCTCAAACATATTTGCACACCTTGTTCTGGGAGACACCAAACCATTCTGATTCCCTGTTTGGGTACCCCAGTATGAAACTTTCGAAAATGTAAACTTATGTACTGATCTTGAAGGATCTCATACACATCCATACCAATTTTCATATAAATTCATGGATTCAGTCCTGAAAACCCGAAGTCCTTTTTTACCCACTTATGGAGATTCAAATTAAAAATGTTTTTTGAGCTGATTCTTACATACTAAAGTCAATTTTCCTGTAACTCAGTTTAGTCAAATCTAGAGTCCCAATATTTCTTGCCCCCCATTTATAGAGCCTCTCACAATCTTTCGAAAATTGTTTCTTCATTTATGTTCTGTATGGTGAAACATTTTGCTGGAGGAGTATTTGATGAAGGAGGTCTTAGAAGAAATGATTCAAGGGAAACGATCTAGATGTAGAAAGAAAAAGGAACTAATGGACGATCTGAAAAATGGAAGACTGTTTGGTGAGATGGTAAAGAAAAGCACTCCTTGACGATCTGGGAGAGTTGGGAATTTTATGGTGACATAGAAGAGATAAGAACTGTTAGATGATCTGAGAAATAGGAGATCGTTTGGTGGAATGTAGAAGAGAGCTGAAGATTGAAAGGGCTGGAGGAGGAGTTGTAGAACCAAGAACCTGTCCTTAAGGATATAACTCAATAATAATAATTATATTCTATGGAGACCATGTCAAAATATAAATATCAAGGTTTTTGTTAAACATTGTGAGAGCAGTTCAAAAATTAAGTAAATGTAGAAACGTACATACGAAGGTACAGTTGAGAATTACTATATAGATTCAGATAATTTTCAAAAGTTTCGAAGAAGTTTCTTTCTGTACGTGGAAGTTTCGACAAGAATTGATGTTCCCGGCTTTAACTGACATCAACTAGAAATAAACAATTATTATTGTAACTCGTATAGATAACCTGAAAAATATAGTTCTATTAATAACTCACTGGAAAAATGTAGCTATAAGAATAATTCAAACAGAAAACTGGAAAATACGACTATAGTTATACTATAAATGTACAGTATTATATACATATATATATCATATGTATGATAACCGAAAACACACAAGTATATCTAACTTAGCTATATATTCAAAAAGAATAGACTTCAGGTATATTTAATAAAAGTAGCATAACAAGATGAGTTATAATTCAGATATATAACCGGAAGTATATAACTGTGGCTATAATTTAAATAACAATGAACAACAAGAATTTTGCTACTGTAAAAACACAAGTGATTCGGGGTAGTTTGATGGTGCTGATTTTAAAACTGTAGACAGAATTTGTCCATCGTATCTAGATTTTGAGTTACTGTAATATCTCAATATTTTACCAGCAATGTGAAATAACACGCAATCAATTCAGTACAATAGATTTATGCTGTGAAATTAAGTTTACTTCCACAGTTTAATGGGTAAAAGGCATACATTTTTGATAACTTCAAACTGACTGTATTGCATTGGTGTAAAATTCCAAATATATTGTTCATATATGCTATTTGTTCTCGATATAATTGTAGTAAATTGCACCACTTTTGCTTCATTCCTATACTCATCTGCTCTGCCCTGGAATCACAAAACCCTCACGTGCTCAGTTTTCTAGAACATTCGAGAAGTACCTCGACTGAGCATAAAAGAGGTGGAGTCAGATGTTTCTCTTAGTTGCCCCTCATTCACTCAGTTGGTCACATCGCCTCGCCTACCTTGTTCCTCACACTATATCCACGATATAATCAAATTCTGCAAAACTATGTTTTTAAAATCTTTTAAGCTCTAGTTCTGTAAAGATAAATTCTTATATATATTTCAAAAAAATAAATTGAAATGTTGGCTGCTTCCAGTTCAAGTAAAGTCTGAACGTGCAAAAATCACTCAAACAGTTTCTGCTACATTTGTAGAAAATATATTACAGTTTCACGAAAGAAAAACATCACACACAAGGTAAAGGTAGACTACTACCACTAATTTGGGTGTAAAATTGGTGACCAAGAAAAACATTGGGCTCCACATATGTGTTGTACAGTTTGTACATCTGGCTTAACACGGTGGCTGAATAAGAAGAGAGCAAGTATGCCATTTGTAGTTCCCACGATATGGGGTGAGCCCAACGATCATCTAACTGACTGTTATTTTTGTATGACTAATGTTTCTTGATATTCAGGCAAACTAAACAATACATTAAATATCCAGATATTGCATCTGTAATGAAACCAGTACTTCATGGGGATGGTCTTCCAGTGCCACATCCACTAGCGAATTGGGTAACAGAAGAGTTATCCTGCAAGGAAGACAGTGAACCCCCCTCATCTAGTTATTCTATTCTTACGGCACCTAAACCTAAAGTATTTCATCTGATCACACAAAAAGAGCAAAATGATTTGATTCGTGACTTGCCTATATCAAAGCAGCATAGGTAATTTATTGGCTCTGATTTACAGCAATGGAATTTATTAACTTCAGGAACAAGAGTTTCAACTTCCCGAAGTCGTCATCAAAGTCTTGTTTCTCACTACAGCATGCAAAATACCTTTTGTTTCTGTACAAATGTTGATGCACTAGAAAAAGAATTAGGTACTGAAGATCAACCTCAAGAATGGAGACTTTTATCGACTCATATAAAGTCTGAAAGCTGTACTTTTGAACAATGGTGACACTAAGCCATCGGTTCCTGTTACTCATGCTGTAAACATGAAATAAACCTATCAAAGCATGCACATTATACATTCTTAAATGCAATTTTCAATGAATAAATGAAATTATTAAAGAATATTTTGAATAAATATATCATAACTCGTAAATTACAAGTGAACAGTAGTTTTCAACATGATTTATAGAATAAGAATCGTCAAATTACTCAGAAAAAGTTACATTTTTCAGGTAGAAATGTTTTTGTTGCCTAGCGTAATCGGGAAGTTACAGTAGAAGTTACAACTTAGAAATAATCCACACGATACAATGATACAGTTATAATTCGAATGGAAACCACACATACAAAACATCTATAGAACTTTCGAGTGTGCGTTAAATGTCGTAAATTTCAATCTAAAACGGTTGACCATTGTGCACCAGTCCATAATGTTCCACTTGTATATTTTCCAGTAAAAATGATAAAAATAAGGAATAATCATTTCGAAAAAGTAACATTTCATGTCGGTTCTTAAGAACAATAAAATGCCCTAAAAACAAACTGATATCCACGAATTATGTTTAGATATTAACGACAGTACGAAATGCCAGGTCTACGGATGTTTTTAGTCAGATTATTGCACGTAGTGATAAGGTTGTCTACAGAAGAGTCACGATAATATGCGCTGTCGTTAAGCCTCACTGAGCTCAGACTCTCGGGCTTCAGTTTCGTTTCTCGTTATATGGGGTTAATTATGTATGTTCTGAGTAATCAAATGTCTTTCTCTGTACAGTCCACTTAACACAGCTAAAACAAGTGATAACTGTACAGGTATTACGCCTGAACACATTAGAACTAGAACACTCGCCAAGCCCAGAATGTAGGTGATATAGTGTAGGAGCATTGTCTCAGCTCAAGGATAGGGTAAGAGAGAATAAAAATTGGCTCGATTGAAGCACAGTTGATTCTTGTTTCTGTAATACCTGTTGCTATGTAGGTCACAGCTGTAGACTGAGATTGAGGTGGTCAACCCAACTGACAACAGGCCCGGGACTCCACGGAGACGGTAAGTAGCGACTTTCGCCAGTCTCTTGTACTAAATATAACTTACATAGCTAATGGAACACCTATAGCAATTACGGTTAAAGACTCGGTTTTTCTCCGTAACAGTTTCTTCCTAAGGTACAGGTAAGCCATACTCCGGGCTTACACAAGGTATTCACGTAGCTGCAGCAGGTAAACATAAGCAGATGCAGTAAGACTTCTAGTCAAGTGACTGCGACTCCGAAGACGAGAGTATTACAGGTAAAAACATTTTAAAAGTAATTGAAACTGAGAAGGTGAGAGTTAAAAGAGAATGTAATAATAGTTGTAAGTAATTTAACAAGAACAAAAGAGAGTTCGGGAGAAATAAGGCATGTGATAAAACCAGATTAAACGTTGCTTACTTCATAATTACTAGGCAAGTAAGTTACAAATAATGTAAAATTGGGAAACTAGGAACCATGAAACATCCTAAGATTGTAGCTGGCTAGACACCAAAGTATTAATGTTAATCTATGTTATCGAATATGTGTACACTAGCTCCAATTTCTTACTATTGATATTATAAGGTAATCTTACAGACTTTGTGCTGAAGCTTTACGTACAAAACTGACATATTTTCGTTGCAACCTGACTAGTACTAGCAACAGGTTTTTACCCTGCAATAAACAACTACCGTGCAAAGACCTAGTTACTATACAGCAACTATATTGCGGACAAATATATTATAGAGTTAGAAGGAAATAAAAAAAAAACAGCAACAATAATGGAGTCGCTGTAGGAACAATGAGTACTGTAAACATCTAGTAGTCTTATAACAACACTGCTCTATTAATAGCCAGTTTTCCTATAACAGCACTGATGTATAAACATCCAGTTGTCTTATAACAACAATGGTACATAAATTCTGTGACAAAACTATTGTATAAACACCCTCTAGTTGTACAATAAGTCATCTAATAAAACTACTGTATTAACATCTGGTTGTCCTGTAACAACACTGTTATATAAATATTTGGTTGAACTATAACAATACTGGTGTATAAACTATCTGTAGTGTCGCTGTATTAAGATATAGTTGTCCTGTAAAACAACATTGTTGTATAAACATTTAGTTGTACTATAACAATGCTGGTGTATGAACTATCTGTAACTATGCTGGATTAAGATCTAGTTCTCCTGTTACAACACTTCAGCATAAACATATATTATCGTATAACAACCCCACACTATAAATAGCTAGTTGTCCTGTAGCAACATAGCAGTATAAACACCATGTAATTATGTAATAACAATACTTTATATACACCAAGTTGTCCTGTAAGAAAACTGTTGTGCATAATCTAGTTTTCGTCTAACTACCTGTAACAATACTGCTATATAAGCATCTAGTTCTCCTGTAGCAGCACTGCTGTATAAAAATGTTGTAATCCGGTAACGACACTGCTGTAGAAACATCTCGCTTTCCTGTGACAACACTGCTTTATAAACACTGTCGGGAACTACGTTTTAGTAGTAGTAGTAGTAGTAGTATATATGTATAGTAATGTAAATATATGAGTGTGTTGGGCTAAGGTGATACAGTAGGTGTCTGTGACTTGTTGGTGATACATTCGACAATAAACGAACAGCATGCACTCCACTTGTCTTTAGAAATAATATATATATTCGAAACAAGTTAAACGTATCTAAAAAAGTTCTTCACACTATGCTTTTCGTACTTCCAGTAATAATTTGCTCTTTGTACTTCCAATAATCGTTCGCTTTTTGTCAAAGTCCACACAGGCGAATTCAATTAAATTAGAACACCCTTTGACGAGAAAAATTATTCTCCTTATTTTATTCAAACTGTTAATCTCACTCTAAGGTACCAACCGTTAGGTCATTCACTCCCACGACGATTAACTTTACGTTTTTAAACTTTTCTCTGACCAAAGTTCTCTTTCACGTGACTTTACTTTTACTCTGTTTCCGTTCGTCTGGTCGCAGCTATTTATATGTCTATCATTTAGACCTTCTAGAAATCTCCATAGCTTAAATCAATGAATTACAAACACAAAATAAATAAATTATTAATATTATCTATACTAAACAGTTTTATATCTGACAAACACCCAATGGTTGTGTAACAAAACTACCTTATAAACACCAGATACTCCTACAACAACGCTGTAATCGTTTAGCAACACTGTTGCATAAACATCGTATAAAGGCACCGCTCTATGAACATTTTGTCCTGCATGAACACAAATGTCTTGTAAGAATAACGCTATATAAAATCTAGTTCTCCAGTAACATCAGAGATGTATAAACATTCATTTTAACTCTAACAACAGTGCTGTATAAACATCTAGTCGTTTAATGAAACTGTTAAATAGATGAGTGATAGACTTGTAACAACACTGTTGTGCGGACATCTAGTAGTGATGTTATAGCACAGCAGTGTAAACGTTAAGTAGACCAGTAACAGCACTGTTGAGTAAATATACACCTGGAAAAAAGTTAA